GAAATGACCTCAGATGCAAGGACATCAACTTCAAACTTTCAAAACTTACGGGGATCGGGGGCACCATCATGGCAGCCATCTTGATCTGTGGCGTCGTATCATTTGTCCAAGAAACAAGCATGCCAAGTTTTATGCCTCTTTTCCCCCCGTTTATGTGGTACAGAAAATACTCACAGATAATACTTACAGAGAAGAGAATACTCGGAATCAGATAATACTCACAGAGCAGAGAATACTCAGAGTCAGATAATACTCACAGAGCAGACAATACTCAGAGTCAGATAATACTCACAAAGCAGACAATACTCACAGACTACTCACAAAGCAGACAATACTCACAGATAATACTCACAAAAAATTACAATCAATATCACAGTTTTATTTCTTGAATACAGATCATATATATAAATCACTCTCCACCCCAATTTCCATTCTTGGTATCCCCAGTGGTATCATTCCATTCTACTCCACTAAGGGCAGATAATTTGAATTCGTGAAAACCCTGTGGATGGACCCAGGCAGATTAAAATGGAACGATAGTACTGGGCACACTGATCAGCAGTGAATATTCGCTAGGACACTACAATCACTGATAAGGATGACATCGATGCGACTTAATGAGTCACAAATATTAACTTTTTTCTTCTGTCAAATTAAATTCTAAAACATTTCTTTTATGTATTAGAAAAATAAAGGCGTTTGAATTATTTGTAGGTAAAAATCATTTCCTATTTATGTAAACAGGTATTAAAATAAGTAAAATTCACCATTTAGCTCGAATCCGTAATGTATTATGTAAATAATGCACATGCTATTGAGCCAATGATTGACGCCACGCGATGTTACGTCTTATTTCGAAACAGTCATCTGTTACAGAGATATTTGAAGATCTCTGTGAAACAGATTGACTACTGGGGATACCAAGAATGCCTTCATTCTCTTAACAAGCACAGTGAAGTTGTTAATTTTTACTTATGAACAAATGACTATTTCTTGCAATATCTGTACAGTTTGTATCTTGTCCGCAGGTTTGTCTAATCGGTTTTGTTTGTGTGTAGTGAGGTCCTCCTGCACTTATTATTTATATTAATGAAAATATCTGTTACAAACAGATCTAAATGGTTATTTTAATTGCACACTTTTACATTAGAAGAGGCATCTTTTACAGCTAGTTGCACACCTGTTAATTAATGACTGCTTTCTATAAATACTAAACTTGTATATTTTCATGGCACTACTTTTCATTAGTAAAAGTCATCGGTTCACAAGTGGAGCATATCAGTTTCACAGTGCACAATGAATAAATAATACACTATGTACTAGAAACAAGAGTATGATTAGAAAATGACCTTTGAACTTGGCTACTAACCAGTACGTTGATCCTGCTATGTTACTACCAAGTAATACCCCTGTTGACGACTTATTAAGGCAATGTCTGATGTCATAGGGTCAAAAGCCGCTCGTATGACCGATGATGCGACAGATTTGTATATCAATCAGATTGTAATTCTCCTGGCTTGGATTCAACAAAATACACGGACAGGATATCATACGCAGAAAAACACAAACAGACAAACAATTCAAAAAGTTTAAATGGATCCGGGGGCTAGCCGAAACCGTCCACTGCACTGTACAGTCCTGGGTCTGTACTGACACAGACTTCGCTCAAATTTGAAAACAATCAGGAATACAACCCAAAGAAACCATTGTGTAATGCCAGCATGAGTCATGATCTGCGAAGACAACACTTCTTTTACAACAGCGTCTGGTGACAGAAATCAATCTGTGTCTATTTGGACTATAGTTGTTGACAAGACATCGGGCCGTTTAATGTTAGTATGAACCCTAACTATTAAATGCACATGTTTATTCAAATAGAATAATGTTCATGACTAAATATGAAAAATATAATGCATTTCTAGCTATAGAATTATCATATAAAACCTATGTACATCATTAATTTTGCCACAAGAAATGATAAAATGAAATGCAATAGAGTTTAACATCCTACTTTTATGCACCCACTGGGCTAATCAAGATGGACATACAGCATAAAATATGCTATAAGGGAGGAAATTAAGAATGCCAACTGCCAAGGGTTTTTAAAAGCACATCAATTGTGTACATGGGGCCTCAGTTTTATGGCCCATCTGAATGATTGGGTGCTGCGCACTGACAATGGGAAACCACACAGGAACTTTCCCTGCCAACTCACTGAGTCACCGGGGCTCCCAGACTATAAGAAATATGTACATAATTAATTACATAATTATACCACAAGTAATTATATATATTACATCCCACTTCTACTCGTTGCCACTGGCAACCTTTGATAAAACTGTCCTGTTTAATTGCTATACATGCCTAAAAGTATCCGTGTATCAGAAATGTACAGAAAGAGTACTGTTCATTACTGATACACGGATACTTTTATACCGTTTTAGATATCTATCAAGCAATAAGTAGCTGACGTTTAGTCCGATGTTTAGTCCGACCCAGATCGCAATTGATAACATGCCTCTATACAATGTACATGAAACAACTAGTCAAAATCATAGTAACAAAACAAAATGGGGGGAACTACATGGCAGTTCAAAAACATATACAATGACATTAAATTAACATAACAACATATTACAAAAATCAATTATTAATACATTTCAATTGGCATCTATTTCATAATTGGGTTTGATTTTTATTATTATGCAAAATATATAAATTAGAATATTGAATAATTATTTTAATTAATTGTGATGATAGAAGGCGCAGTTCTCTTGCTGGACACTTCAAAGGCATTGAAATTAAGCAGGATGAAAAAAACGCCTAAAAAGTCATAAACTTTATTACAAATAAATTTCAACGGAAGAACCATCCGCCGATGCATACTTTCACCAGGAATGGCGCACGTTTCGCATTTCCTTTACACTACATTTAATAATATCGCAGTCCTCTACGCCATAGACAAGTTGTTTTGACGAGGTGGTCTAAAGAAACACGCGATTGTTTTACGCTCAGAGTATCATAGCAAGACGCACGTGTAAATACTACTTAGGTCGTCTCTCCACTGCGAAATCATTCTACCATGAAATGTAACGTGAGGCTCAAAAAGGGATAAATAATGAAAGAGCAGAAAGTATTTGCCACTTTTCGGTTGAAACGACACATTTTGCTTCATAATACTCGATAGAAATGTGATGTAAGTAACTTATTAGCACCTTTCCTCGGTGTATCGGTGAATATCAGGACAGTTTTGATCGGGGGCCGCCTCGGCTGGGCCCCTCGACCAAAACTGTCCTGATATTCACCGATACACCTCGGAAAGTGTGCTAATAACTACTACTTATACAAGTAATTACATAATTATACAACAAGAAATTATATGCTCTTCAAAAAAATTAAAGATATTCAGAAACAATACAAAACTGCAGAAATGAACTGCTGTTTTTATTAGAGGTAACCAGTGTATGTTAATAACAGGCAAACTGCCTACACATGAACATAAACAGTTCATATGGGCGGCTTATCTGACGGCCCCATTTCACTCGCAAAGAGATACACCGTCAAAAGTGAAAATGGATGTATTTGATTTTTGTCTTATTTATAATGAGTAATTGCTCCACCAATCCTCAGACATTCATCAATTCGTCCAATCACGATTTGGGGCAATCTGACCCACTCCTCGTACAGTGCCATGGTCAATTCTTGCAGTGTTGTCAGTTGACGTTGACGTTGACGAACACGTCTCCCGATCAAATTAAACGTAACACACTACCCTTCCTTAAAGTGTCAAATTTGACAATGAACCCCTCCCACGTGTATGGCGCTATTGCGTGTCGCATGTGCAGCTCAGTGGCTCTGTTGGGGCGATAAGTTCTTCATCTGTGAACATACTCTCAAAGTATGTCAAGTGTCCATGACTATTTATCATATTGCAACCTGCATAGGTATTTGCATTTCAATATCCCCTACTTTTTTTGAAGAGTATATATTATACCACAAGTAATATTATATATATATATTATACAAGTAATTATATATTATACCACAAGTAATTATATATATTATACCATGTACATTATATATACCACAAGTAATTATATATATCATACAAGTAATTATATATAATATACCACAAGTAATTATATATAATATACCACAAGTAATTATATATATTTTATACCACAAGTGATTATATATATTATACCACAAGTGATTATATATATTATACCTCAAGTTATTACATATATTATACAAGTAATAATATATATATAACCACAAGTAAATATATATAAGATGGTAATGTATATATATATATATATAGCTAACAATATCAATTTTATTCTGAGAATATCTAATTATTATACGAATTTCAACAGCCAAGGGTTCTTTTACGTGCACGCTAAAATGTACACGATACCTCAGTTTTTATTTCGTCCCATCTGAACAAGTGTGCGTTGTCCCTTGCCAGGCCCTCTATCTAGCACCAATGACAAGGGAGAGAACCACACCAGAATCATTAATTATAACTATCTCACTGTCTCTATTAGTTCAGTCTTGCCATTTTGATGTATCTTTGTTCCAAGTTGAAGATCAAACTAATTCATAAACTCTACATGTTAAATCTGCACAAAAGTTCCAGCAGCAACGCCCCCCACCCTCCCCACCCCACCCCATCCCCCCACTTGAAATCACAGATCTCACTTGAATCACAATGAATTCAGCATCCCTCCCCACAAGCCGGACTTGGATCATCCAATCCAGCTTCAACTGAAAATCACATTGTATCCAACAGTGCCCAAACCTTAAGTTGAATGATAATGGTTTGGATACAGTAGTTCCCCAACTTAAAATCACACTGGATCCAGCATTGCCCCTATTTGGATCCATCAGGGCCCCAAACCCCAGCCCTCACTTTAATCTGTTTGGATTCAGCTTTCTCCCATCCCATCCCATCCCCCCCTTGAAATCATACTGGTTCCACCAATGCCCCCCCGCCCCCACCCACATGAATCGCCAATGTTTGGTCTAGAATTATATTCTTGCACTTATAACATAAATGTGGTAATTATTATGAAGTTTTTATATATTGGTATTTACGTTGGTATTTTAACTGTAGTTATTTTCCGTTACACCTTAATTATCACCATCCTCCTCCTCCCCCTCCTCATCAACACAATCATCATCAACACAATCATCATCATCAGCACTCATCATATAACTAGCAATTAATTGGTCTCTTCTCTTTTTCAAATTTCCTTTTTCAACAGCTTCTGAATATTGTTCATCTTCGGTCTCTTCTCCAGGAAATGACTGATTCTCCAAATCCGGACTTTCCGATTCCACATGGACCTCAGTCTTGGGCATACTGGAAACAGGATCTGATGCCACATTTTCAATATTTTTCTTATCAAAATCTAATATGGCTTGAAGTTTGGGATTATTGGTGTAGGATTCCTCAACCATATTTTTTGAGTCAAATAATTTTAATTTCGCAAGTTTTTCAGGATCACATTCCATCACAAGTTCTTCATTTTTTCTATCTTCTGTTTGTAATTCATTGTCACTTCTTTCAATTTCTGCTAACTTTTTGGGATCAGACACATATGCAAATTCCTCAGTGTTATTCTTGTATAATTTAATTTCTTCCTTGGAAATTTCATGTATGTCCCCATTTCTTTTTTGATCGTACAGCATCTGAAGTCGGAATGGTTCCGGTAACGACTTGTGCTCCTTGTTGAAGTAATCAATTGGACTGTATGGTCGTTCCGATTTTTCTAATGTGACGTGACTAGTGACAGTGGCTACATTCTTGTTCAGCTGTTGTACGTTACCCGCCATATTGTCCACACTTTGATCGGTGCCAGATGAATACGAGAAATGGGCCGAGTTTAAATTTAGCGATAAACCTTGATTCTCTGGTAACGAAGCTGCAATACAAAAGAAAATAATGGTAATTTAGGACTTTGCACACATATAGAGAGAGAGAGAGAAATGGGGTTTAACGTCCACTCGACACAAACTAGGTCATTTCGGGACTGACATATGGTTTAATTTTATTTCAATAATCCGCTTACTCTTCGGGGGGTTAAGTAGTGGGAGGAAACCGGAGGACCCGGAGAAAACTCACGAGGTTGGACAGGCGACCGTACTCCTTGTCACGTACTCAATGACACACACACACACACACACAATATAAATCAAAAGTATTGAAAACGATCATTTCATCGCTGCAGAGTCAAAAGGTTGGACAGACGACCCTACTTTTCGTCACGTACAAGTGTGGAATCAAAACCACGCTACTCGACTCAATGACAGAGCTGATGATCTAAAGTACATGCGTTAGACCACTACCCGCAAGGAGAATAGAAATGGGGTCTTGAATCTTGTTGACAGTTTCCCCGTTGTTGTTGTCAGATTTACAATCATTTTGTTTCCAAGCTCGCATGTGCAATTTAAGAAATTTTGTACTTCCACCTCCTCTTCTTTGAATTCCATCTACCAAGGACTCAGGATGTCAGTTATCGTCTCAGTTACGTGTGACTGGAATGGGTAAACTGTGAACCATGGCAACTTCATTAATCAATCGCAAATTAATCAGCATTCATGGCTTAAGTTACAATTAAAAGATAGGTTGCCAGGCAACGAAACATACACCCACAGCCGCTAAATCGTCCTGGCAGTCAACAAGAGTTGTCACATATTTTGACTTTTTTCGGTAATGAAACATTTATAATACATTAAAATCTGATTAAGAGTAACAACTGATTAAGTAATTATCAGAAAACCATTAGAATTTGTTTGGTTTTTATAAAGTTTTGTCCCATCATGGATTTAGCTGTTCAAGTCATAAAAATTCATTGAAAAATCAATACACTTCTTTGTCTCAAGACCTTAAAAACTGTGAATCTGAAGTCAATCGGATGATAACTTTAACTTCTAGAGGGTCACAAGATTTTTCAAAGTGATGAAATGAAATGAAATGAAATGGGGTTTAACGTCCTACTGTTCTGCTCCTAACCTGGGCTAATGAAGACGGGCATACGCCATACAGTGTGCTATGACTGAAATTTTGCCCGGACAGCGGCACTACGGCCTACTCTTATATCGAATTCCAACTGCCAAGGGATCTTTTACGTGCACGCCAATGTGTACACGGGACCTCGGTTTTTCGTCCCATCCGAACGACTAGACAGCTTTCCTTGTCAGCCCCTCCGTCCTGCATCACTGACAAGGGAGAACCACGCCGGAAAATCTGGATGAACTTTCTCGGCCAATGCAGGGATCGAACACCTGACCTCCAGGCTAGCGAGCTAGCGTCTTACCCACTTAGCCACGTGATCCCCCAAAGTGATCAAGGGCCATAACACATTTCAATGTGGGCGTATAAAAACAGAATGAACTTACCATATACCTGATTCCATTTGGTTTGACAAGCTTCTAATTTATCAACAATCTACAAATAATATACAATCTTATGAATTAGAGAATTTGGCCAAGGCAGCAGCAGTGTTTGGGCCTGCACTACCCTTCTACTGATACCAACTGTCAAAAGGTATTCCACTCGGCAAATCTCGGCAGATTCCGGTACCCTACATCTAACCACGGCTGTATAATAGTAATTGATATGTACCTACGCCCATACATTTGCAATGCGGCTACCGGTTTACTTTTACTAGGTGGAAAAGGTGATTTTGAGATTATGATTATACATATGTTTTTATTAGCTTTTCATGTAGATCTCATCATTCTTCTCACAAAACTTTTTACAGATTCAAAATCGGATGAAATTTTTTTTTTTTTATTGAGGTTCAAAGTTGCGATTTTTGACTTTTCGCGGAAGAAAGGTTTTTCAACACTTTGAAAAAGTCATTTTTGGTGTTTTTTGTGATGCCATATTTCATTTCATATTAAAACTATCAAATATGTAGATGTAAATTCATGAAATACAACTTCAAGGCTAATTATGTTTCAATTTTCACATTTTTGTAATAATTACACCGAATTCCACAGGAACTGGAAAATACCTAAGTTTTCTCAAAAATTCCATTTTCTCAGAGCGATTTTGGTCAATTTTTTCATCAAAAATGGTCTTGTGCATGTTATATCTGAAATATTGAACCTGGTTGTTATGCATTTTAAAATCAGTATCTATCAAGTAAGATTAACAGAAAAAAAAATAATATCTATATGCCTTCTCTCATGCAAGGGCTGGATATGTGTTCAATTTTGAACAATTGTCTGCGGCACACATTTGCCTATTTTTGGGGCGTTTTGGTGACCTTAGTAAAATAAGAAGGAATGGAGATAGGGAAGTGAAATTATGGGAATATGTCAAAAAGTTTGTGAATTTTAAAATTACATATTTCCAATCTGCCATATATTATCGATTTTGGTTGTCATAGCAACCAAAATGGAAAAAATGCAATTTTTGACCATTTTCAATGCTATTTACCATAACCCAAAAGGTGATCACCACTTTTAAAAATAAGCATTTTAAAATATTTGAAACCCATGTAATATCAAATGATATGGATTGTATAAGTTTGAGCAAAATATTAAGGAGTTTGAGTGGTTACCATAGCAACCACATTTATTTTTTTTCCGAAAACCATTATTTTCCAATAATCATGACATCAATATTGATCACTGTATTATTTTAAAAACAGAAGCTATTGGATAAGATTTTAAAAAATAAATAAAATCAGAATATCTATATGTCTTCTCCCAAGAGCTGGAAAGGAGTTCCCTTTTGAAGAACATTCTGCAGCAGCTAATTGTCTATTTTGGACATTATTAAGACATAAATAAAATATGAAGGAATTAAGATCTTGAAGAGAAATTTTGTTTACATGTATTTATGTTTGTGAATTTTTAAAATTACTTATCTTTACTCTTGTATGTTACTTAATATTTGGTTGTTATAGCAATCAAAACGAAAACAGACACCCCAAAAAAGGCAATGTTATTCCATTTTCAATGGTGTTTACCCTGACAAACCAATTGATCACCACATTTTAAGTACAGTAGCAGAAAGCATTTTAGCATATATTTATAGCCCATGGCATGTAATATAAAATATTAAGAATTGTATAATTTTAGTGAATTATTAAGGATTTTGGATGGTTGTCATAGCAACCACATAATTTTAAAAAACGGACAACTGTTGTTTCATTATTATTGTTCTCAGCATTCGTTTCTTACATTATTGTTAGAATTCTGCTTTTACATATTATTTTCTACTCAGAAGATAACATTGACCAATAAAAAATTATTCTCTAAAGACTAAAGAGTAAAAGTAGGTTACTCAGTTACTGATAGGCTATGGTAGGCCTAGTCATGTTTATATTATAAAGGCCTAGGCCTAAAAGCTACAATTTAACTCAAAGAATTGTTGTTTTTACTTCACTTTTGAATATTTCTATTATTCCTTCAAATCGGTATGTAGCCTATTGAGCAACTTCCTTTTTTGTATATTTTAATCGATGTATTGTAAATAAATATCAAATCAAGGCCTAAAGGCCTTACGTTTGTCGGTTCTTTCAACTTGTTTAACTGGCCAACAAATAATATGTGATACTCGAGGTGTTAAATATAGTTTCCTAAAAAAACAAAGAATTAAAATTATAATAATAAGTATGACAACTGTTATATAATGCTAAATTATTTAATAAAACGTTTTGGGAAAATTGGGTATCTGTATCGATACTGAGTGATAGTAATTATTAGTTTAATATTGTCGACATGACTGACCTAATTGAAATTCATAATCTATGTCGGTTCCATCATCTCAAACGAAATGTTGTAAATCGCCAACGGCAAATCCAGAAATTGAGCCATTTTTCAAACTATTTCAGCTAGCGTTAATTCTTTTGTTATTCCAACTTTATTTGGGTAAAGTTCCCTTTTTAAGTGGGTAGAAATCGATGTACTAATTATCAGTAGTACTATACTATCTTCCTCAGGCTGCGGTCGGCACCGAGACCCGTGTGGATATTATCTGGTTTCATTTCCATTCGTGTGCACAGAAATGGTTTAAAATAGGGCTTGAATAATTCAGTGAACAGCGAATTTATGATTTCAGTGCATTGAAACATTCGTCAAAGTTTCGGAATTTTTCAATTCTTGAAAAATGTTTGGTGTTAAAAGTAGAGACGTGTGGTCGCTGGGATGAAATTTCCCTTCGATTTTTTTATGTCCTGTCACATGGTTATAAAAGCGCGCGAAGATGAGTCACGTGATGTAAACACAGTCGGCCCTGCGAAAGGCGTGAATAAAATGGAATTACTATCATTATTTATTTTCAGGCAAGTCATTTATTCATATAACATAACGATTTCTTCATAAATATAACATCGAGTTGCATTTCGAGCTAAATTTACAGCGAATATGAGTCACAGGAACTTGGAATGGATTTTTCTTCTCGTGTAGAAATGACGTCATAACAAGGCAAAACTACGCGATTTATTTTTGACAAAATTGCCCATTGTATACAATTTTCAAATGCTCGGCGGCGGTTCTTAAAATGCTCCGATTTTGTTGATTTTAATAGCATTGAAACGACAATAAAACGAACTTTCGATTGGTCGGGGGTGCTATATTGGCAAATCGCCTCACAAAAAAGATTACGTGAATTGAAGCGTTCAACTTACAAATAAGGCATGGTATTTCGAAATGCCGACAAAGCACTCCTGACCGATCAAAAGATCGTTCAATTACCTTTCTAATGATATTAAAATGAAAAAATAATATTAAAAATAGGAACTGCCGCCGAGCACTTGAAGTGGGGTACCCTCATTTCAAAACGTGACAAAAAATTTCAGCGTAACGTCAAAACACGGGAAATTGACGTTTTTCAACTTACGTTTATGAAATTAATAAAATGAACACATATATAAAAATTATACCAAGCCAAAGAACAGGATATCGGCTTCCAAAATATTTTAAAATTATTACAAAATATTAAATAGCCACCGTATGACGTTAAGTTGAAAAAGGGTTACAAATCGGGAAAAAATGACTTTCTTCCAACCCGGGCAATGGAGCTGTGACACCTACTTTTACAAAAAAGTCCCAAAATGGCGTGTATATAACTAAATGAGCAGAAATATTGTCTCAAGGCTGCTGGTTTGATATAATTCCCTGGTAATTCCTCAAACCCAATGCCAAACTTGACGTTTGTTGATATAATACACTCTCCACAGAAATCTCCATGGGCGCAGCCATTTTTCATCTGGGACCTTTAAAACAGTTCCAATATGGCGGAATTCGTCATACAGCCGAGATTAGATGCGTAGAATCTGTCGAGGTTTGCCGAATGAAGGTATTCAGCATTCAAGGTTTTTAACATTAATTAACTGGATTTCTTTTAACATTAATTACATGTATTTCTTTTAACATTAATTACCAGGAGGTTTTTCACATTCGTTACCAGGAGGTTTTCAACATTTGTTACCAGGAGGTTTTCAACATTCGTTACCAGGAGGTTTTTAACATTCGTTACAGCGTGCCCGTCCTAACCATTCGGCCACCTACACTATAAACAGAAGATACCTATGGCCCCTACATCCACCCAGGACAAAACTGGGTCGTAACTAGCTCTGAGCAATGAGGGGGGCGGGAAGTGTTCTCGGGGGTGCAATTGACGGAAAATGTATATCTGTTGTTTTTATGGTCGACAATTTTTTAACCAGGACAAAATCTTCCCTACCTCATCCATAACTGGTCTCTTTTTCTTGATGGCATCTGTAGCAGTTAGCGCTAGATTCAATATATTTAATACTATATCTACTGGTGGTTTACCAGCTTTCTTATCACGGAACATTTCAACATGTTCTACTTCAGCATCATCAGGAATTCTATCATGTACATAATCAGCCTGGATAAAAATAAAAAACAGTTTGCCAGATGATGCAATACATTGATCCAAGTCCTTATCATCACAAATTGTTTTAATGGCATTTAGTAATTAAACTAATTTGAGAATTCAGGTCTATGGAATACAATTACTGCTTATAACCGAGCGACATTTTGACTAGGCTTGTCCAGCATAAATGGGCAAATTATCATCCCTGAGTACAGCCAATACTTTTGGGAATTTTGAATGTGATTAACGATATCCTGATTGGGCACCTGATCGGGCATATTCCCGATCGGACGTTTGTCCAGCACTGGAAATGCCCAGCATATACAGGCCAAACAGCATCCCTCGACTACAATGTCCTAAATAGATCTCCATAAAGATAAACAACTTACCAGAAATTTATATGGTTCTCTTCTTTCGTCATAAGCAGATTCACCGGAGCAGGTTTCGAACAAAACCTGGAGAGGGAGACAGAGAAATGAAATGAAATAGGGTTTAAAATCCTACTGTTCTGCTCCCAACCTGGGCTAATGAAGACGGGCATATGCCATACAGTGTGCTATGAGGGAAATTTTGCCCGGACAGCAGCGCTGCGGCCTACTCTTATATCGAATTCCAACTGAAAAGGGATCTTATACGTGCACGCCAATGTGTACACATGACCTCGGTTTTTCGTCCCATCTGAACGACTAGACAGCTGTCCTTGTCAGGCCCTCCGTCCTGCATCACTGACAAGGGGGAACCACGCAGGAACTTTCTCGGCCAATGCAGGGACCGAACACCCAACCTCCAGGCTAGCGAGCCAGTGTCGTACCCACTTAGCGTGGCCTCCATTATTCAAATGACCATAACCCAGTAACCGATAGGTAAAAATTGCTGGAATAAGTATTTCTGGAATGGGAATTTCACAAGGATTCTAGATCTACACGTATTTTTGACATCCAGGTGTGTTTTAAAGAGTGAATACCTTTTGACTTTGTGTGAGTGAGAGAGAGAGAGAGAGAGAGATTAATTTGGTGATTTCGGGACTAACATATGGTTTTTATTTCAATAATTCGATTGCGCGTACGGGTCTTTAGCAGTGGGAAGGAAATGGAGAACCCGGAGAAAACCCACGAGGTTGGACAGGCGACCAACAAACCCTGGCAATAGATTGTTAAATATAGTAATTAAAGATGAATTATGTAAGATTTAGATAAAGAGCTGGTCATTCTCGCTATATTATTTCCAAAATAGATAATGCAAAATGAATATATTGAAAATTTCAAATTATTTCTTTGAACACTCTACTAAATACATGACATCATTATCTCACATAAAAATGATGTCCAATTGTAGATTTTAAATGTCGCTTACCACTCCAAAAGCAAAGACATCAAATTTTGTCGAAAGATTATAATTTCCCCGATGGACCTCCGGTGGTAAGTATGCTTTAGTACCATATAATTTGGTATTGGAACAACTTTTGGTAATATGCGTGATCTGCCCCGTTACACTCCCACTGTTAGCATGCTGAGCTTGTCCCAAATCTCCTATTCTAGCTTCAAAATTTTTATCTAACAAAATATTAGCACTGAAAATAAAAAAGATTAGGTAATTTATGGAGAGAGAGAGAGAGAGAGAGAGAGAGAGAGAGAGGGTTTAAGTGCACTTGACACAAACTAGGTCATTTCGGGACTAACATATGGTTCAATTTTATTTCCATAATTCGCTTGTGCGTAGGGGTCTTTAGCAGTGGGAGGAAACCGGAGGGGCTGGATAAAACCCACAAGGTTGGGCAGGCAAATCTACTCCGTGTCACGTACAACTGGGGAATCAAAACCACGCCACTTGACTCAATGACAGACCTTAGGATACAGCGTGTAGAAGCTAACTATTTGGCCATCCAACCCCCCTTTACCATACAAGGTGCTTGCTATAAGGTAAACTTTGCCCTGACTGCTATTGAATTCCAGCATCACTGACACCGGGGAACCCAACCAGACAATCCTGAGGAACTTTCGTGGACAATAACGGGATTGCGCCACACGGGAACCTATATAAAAACAGACAACCCACCTTTTTATATCACCATGTATAAGTGGAACATCTCCCATCTTGTGTAAAAAACGTAAACCATTAGCAGCACCGGACATTATTCTTATTCTCTGATCCCAGTTTAAAGGGGCTCTACCATTCTGAAACAATATAGGTTAAAAGGGTTTTCTATTACAGTGTTGCTATTTCAAAAATTTCTGAAAATAAAGGGGAATAACTTTTATAGTTATTTAAAAATTCAAGTTCAGGCCACAATCAAAAATCATGGTCAACAAAATATTCAAATTCCTACTAATAAAAATCAGTGTACCTTGCTATTTTTCATATTTAATTCCCGTATGGTATTCAAATTTATGTTAATATTCCTACAAAATTCTGTGTTTTCATAATACCACAGAAAGAAACAGATATAAGGCTACACAAAATAAATGTCTTGTTTCTCGGGCAACTGACAGCTGAAACTGTAGGGGGGGAGGGCGGTTTATTTTTTTTTTTTATCTCATTTCTGGCTAGAGGATGGTGCAAAATAAAATTTGCCTATTGTTGAAAATTGTTGGGGCGGGAGGGCGGCCTTGTATTTTTTTTTTTTTTTTTTTTTTAATAAGAAAGTCATTACTTGTCTACGGTTTTGCTTTCAGTTATATATTATACATACTTAGAACATAAACCCAAAAATCAAGTCTACTCAAACACTGAACACTGACTGAAAGGAAAATAATTTTCCATATTTAATTCACGTAATGTAGCTTACTAATGGTAATAGTGACAACCATAATTGAAATTGGTTTAAAATAAAATTCCGTACGACTATTAATAGCCGTCCATAATAACGACAATATTTTAAAGAGTAAGCCTCTGTCAGCATGTGTATCATCATCATCACGGTAAAAGACACTTCGATCTAAATCTAGTATCGCTGGTTTATAATGATTGACCTAATTCCAACCAATGTCACGTGTCATCGGGATATGACTGTTTCTCAGGTTATTCGGTGTGTTTCTCAGGATATTCGGTGTTCTATCTGGGGTTTATATCGAATGACTATTTAAATTTAACTAACAACTCGTCAGTAAAACCATCAAATGTGTAATCCAATTATTATTTTCCGGATTATCAAAACTACCGTTAAATGTGCTAATGACCCAGATTCTGACTAAGGTATGGTGACTATCATCGTATCGTATTCGTAGCCACAAGTTATAATAATTAACCTGTTCTACGATTCATTGTTTTATAAGTAGGATTTTTTTAAACATGGACCGACTGAAGCCGGCAATAATGAGCCGATTAAGATCGAATGATTGAAATACATTGCATTGTTGTCAATGACTTTCGGTGTTTAACACGATTCAAATTCTAGTTCACAAGGGGAGGTAATTAAAATCACGTGATACAAAAATGGAGGTTCTTTCGATATCAATAAAAAAGACCCTTAAATGAGCGTTTACATCTGAATCAGTTTAATACATTTGAATGGATATTCACGTATGGGGCATGTAGATACATGCAGCATATTTTTTTAATGACTTGCTTATCGATGTTCGGGCGGGCGTTACATATTTTTTTTTTTTCATCAAGACTAATAAATAGGCCGCTTGCGCAACCAATTTTGCGTGCGGGTGGTGCCCGAGAAACAACTTATTTTATTTGTGTTGCCTAAATCATGCAGTGTGCTGTATAGAACCTTGACTTGGTTAAAGCAGCTCTCCATGCCCACCATTGGCAATGGTATCCTAGTAGGACCTTGACTTTGTTAGAGCAGCTCTCCATGCTGCACCACCGACAATTGAATCCTAGTAGAACCTTGACTTTGTTAGAGCGGCTCTCCATGCTGCGTCACTGACAATGGAATACCAATAGAAGCTTGACTTTGATAGAGCCGCTCTCCATGCAGCACCACTGACAATGTAATACCAGTAGAACCTTGACTTTGTTAAGAGTGGCTCTCCATGGGTCACCATTGGCAATGGAATCCTAGTAGGACCTTGGCTTTGTTAGAGCGGCTCTCCATGCAGCACCACTGGCAATAGTATTCTAGTAGAACCTTGACTTGTTAGAGCGGCTCTTCATGCTGCATCACTGACAGTGGAATCCTAGCAGGACGTTGACTTTGTTAGAGCAGCTTTCCATTAATGCGTCACTGACAATGTAATACCAGTAAAACCTTGAATTTGTTAGTGCGGCTCTCCATGCAGCATCACTGACAGTGGAATCCTAGCAGAACCTTGACTTTGTATCCATGCTGCGTCACTGGCAATGGAATCCTAGCAGAACCCTGACTCTGTTAGAGTGGCTTTCCATGCACCACCACTGACAATGGAATTCTAGCAGCACCATGACTTTATTATAGTGATTGGGGTTGGAATTATTGATAGAATATTTTACTTACCTTACACTGTAAGCAATCTTCTAATGAACCATTAACCATGTGTTGATATATCAAACATAATGATGGACCATCGATAGCATACCCATACAGTGTTACAATATTCTCATGTCTATAACTACAATACAAGAGAGAGAAAGATAGGTTGCCAGGCAACAAAACATATGCCCGCAGCAGCTAAATCGTCCGGGCAGTCAACAAGAGCTGTCGCATATTTTTACTTTTTTTCGGTAATAAAACATTTATAATACACTAAAATCTGATTAAGAGCAACAACTCATGAAGTAATTATCAGAAAACCATTAGAATTTGTTTGGTTTTTATAAAGTTCTGCCCCATGCTAACGTCTTGTATACAAAACTTTTAATATCATTGATTTAGCTGTTCCAAGTCATAAAAATTCATTGAAAATCAATATACTTGTTCGTCTCAAGATCTTAAACTTTGTGTATCAATCGAAAGTCAATCGGATGATAACTTTAGCCTTTAGAGCGTCACAAAGTGATCAATGGCCATAACTTTGGCAGTAATTATCGTAAATAGTTGAAAATCAATAGGATTCTTCGTCTCATGACCTTAAACACTGTGTATAAATTTAAGGTCAATCGGATATTAACTGTGGCCTCTAGAGCGTCCACAAGATTTCTCGAAGTGATCAAGGACCATAACTCTGGCAGTAATTATCGGAAATCGTTGAAAATCAATATGTTTCTTCGTCTCATGACCTGAAACACTGTGTATAAACTTAAAGTCAATCAGATATTAACTTTGGCCTCTAGGGCATCCACAAGATTTCTTGAAGTGATCAAGGGCCATAACTCTGGCAGTAATTATCGGAAATCGCTGAAAATCAATAGGATTTTTTGTCTCATGACCTTAAACACTGTATAAATTGGATATTAACTTTGGCCTCTAGAGCGTCCACAAGATTTTTCTAAGTGATCAAGGGCCATAACTCTGGCAGTAATGATCGGAAATCATTGAAAATCAATAGGCTTCTTCGTCTCATGACCTTAAACACTGTGTATAAATCTAAAGTCAATCGGATATTAAATTTGGCCTCTAAAGTGTCCACAAGATTTTTCTAAGTGATCAAGGGCCATAACTCCGGCAGTAATGATCGGAAATCACTGAAAATATGACGACAATATACGACCACATTTCAATGTGGGCATATAAAAATGGGGTTTAACGTACACTCAACATAAACTAGGTCATTTTGGGACTAACATATGGTTCAATTTTTTAATTTCAATAAGCCGTTTGGGCGTAGGGGTCTTTAGAAGTGGAGGAAACCGGAGAATCTGGAGAAAACCCATGAGGATGAACAGGCGACCCTACTCCTTGTCACGTACAACTGGGGAATCAAAACCATGCCAGTTGATTCAATGACAAACCCTATGATACAGTGTGCACACGCTAACCATTCGACCATCCAACCCTCCGAACGAACTAACTACAACACAAAAATGAAATGAAAATGAAATTGGGTTTAATTATCTAAATCTTACACAAGTCATGTAAAAACTAACCTTAATAATGTACACACTTCATTGTCTAACTGTTGACCTGTTTTTTTCTCACTGCCAGTTGAATCTTTGGTTACCTGTTAATACAAAATATAACTATTACCGGTCTCATTAATCCAAAAATTAGGGTCACCTGCCCAACCTTGTGGGGTTTCTCTAAAGCTAAAGAACCCTAGGGGGAGTTTAGTAACCTTGTTTTCAGCTCGCACTTCCACATGACAAGGAGTAGGGTTGTGTGCTCAACCCTGTGGGCTTTCTATGGGTCTGCCATACACTACCACTGCTAAAGATCCCTACGTGCAAGCAAATTATTGACATAAAATTGAACCATATGATATGTATGCCATTTTGAAATCACATGATTTTATGTGGCAGTCTCAATGACGTATGGTAATATATATTGTTGGATCCCTGCATTGACCGAAAAAGTTCATCCAGATTTTCCAGTGTGGTTTCCCATTGTCAGTGCTGCAGGATGGAGGACCAGACAAGGACAACTGTCTAGTCGTTATGGATGGGATGAAAAACAAAGGTTCGGTGTAGACATTAGTGTGCAAGTAAAAGATCCCTTGACAGTTGGAATTCGATATAAGAGTAGGCCGTATTGCCACTGTCCGGGCAAAATTTCTCTCATTGCACACTAAATGGTGTATGCCCGTCTTTAGCAGTGGGAGGAAACCGGAGGACCTGGAGAAAACCCACGAGGTTGAACAGGTGACCCAACTCCTTGTCACGTACTGGCATGTAGTTAAGAGCAATCTGGACAGTTGGAGTATGCAGAAAGGCTGCTGTCTGGGCAAAATTTCCCTCATGGTGCAGAAAAGTCGGAAGTTAAACGCCCATTTCATTTTCAATTTCTACTAAAGCTATTCAATGCAAGGGCCATAACTCAAGAAGAAATTAATGGAAATTATTGAAACTAAATAGTCTTCTTCATCTCACTAATGTGAACAACATATATCAATTTCAAAACAATCAGATGGTAAATGTAGCCTGTAGAGTGTCCACATTTCCATGTGGGTGTATAAAAACTGAATCATGACTCATAATAAAATCATAGACTCATAAAATACATTTTTGTAGTTTGGATTGTTTTCAAATCAATGAATTTACGATCAGCGTGAAAAATATAATCGAGATACCTACCATTTCTAATTTTTTGATCGCACATTTTGATCCTCGTAAAACACTGTAATAAACCTTTCCAAACGCTCCTTCACCAATTTTTACGCTGTCACTAAAACCATTGGTCGAACGATACAGTTCTTCGTATGAAAAGTGCGTTTTACTACTGCTCATGAGCATGGCAGCATTAACATTAAGATTGTCACTGTTTAACGACAGACTACTCGGCGAGTCTTTTGAGTAACCCTTTGAAATGGAAGACAGATCAAAAGAAGAGTCACTACTTTCCGTGGGATTCGAACTCGATGCCAACATTGAAGAAATATTTTCTTGTGGTTGTCTCCCCTGCTTTTTCTTACTCATAACTTCACTTTTCACATGTTCTTTTATTTTCAAAATTTTGGCAGGTTCCTGGCCCGGGATGATCTTATCGTCATAATGTTTATCTTTCTCAACAGAACTCATACTTCTGAGAGGGAGTTTACGCGAACCGATAATTTGGGAACTCGGCTGATTAAAGTTGACCTCGCTTTCCTCTTTGACAACTTTCTCCTGTTTAGCTTTGTGTTTCTGTGATGGTCTTGGAAGCGCTGAAATAAGTAACCGTACATTATACATATCGGTTGACAAAAATAAAGAAGAAGAAATGCAGAAAATTGTCAGTTTAGGATTGCACCGCAAACCAGCGGTTGCCAGGCAAGATATGCCCACATTTTGCAAGAGACGAACAGAGAGCAAGCTAAATAAAAACAAGCCCACATTTATTTTTTTGAAAAGTATCAAGCAATCAAACAAATTATCACCTATACACTAAGTTTCACCACTCTCTATCAGTTAGAATCAAAGTTATCTTGTCCCAAAGCATCGACCAATGAAATTGCTTAGCTTTAGCTCGAAATGTTAATCATTGAACTCAGTCAAGACATTCACCTAATGAACATCTACATCAAGTTTAAACATTCTACCTCAATTAAAAGCAGAGTTGTTATGTTCAAAAGTCTTGACCAATCAAATTGCTCATCGATCCTTAGCCTAAGCAGAAAATTCTCATCAACAAACTTAGTCAAGGTAATGATATAATGACTCTGACTTAAGTAAAACCAAAGTTATCGTGCCCCAAAGCATCAACCAATCAGATTGTTTATCTCTGCTGACCGTAAGCAGACAATGTTTATCATCGAACTCCATCAAGGCATTCACCTAATGAACGCCTATAACAAGTATGAACATTTTACCTCAATTAGAAGGAGAGTTATGTTCCAAAGTCTCGACCAATCAAATTGCTTATCGCTCTGCTTACCCATAAGCAGAAAATGTTTATTTATGGAACTTACTCAAGGTATTGATGTGATCAAATTGTGACTTCTAGAACAAAAGCTAAAATTAATGTTACTTTAACTATAGATGTGTTAGATGAATTGAATGTCGTCTTCATTAGCCCAATTCGGAGCAGATAAGTAGGATGTTAAACTCCATTTCATTTCATTTCATGAATTGAATGTATAAATGAAAATATTTGTTCACCTGAAGCTATTGTGGAATTAAGACTGTCTAAACGGACAACTTCCTCATTTTCTGTTTCTTTTAAACCAACTCGATTTACACTTCTCGTTGTGACTGTAAAATAAATTCAAAGTATTTTCACATATTTTGATAAAAAAAAAAATGATAACAAATATTTGCATGAAAGCATTTTTAATTTTCATAGTTAGGAATGTAATTTTCAACATGGGATCTGTTTAGTTTCTCAAAAGGTGTTGAGTAATTAACAGACTAATTAATTACTCAACACTGCTCTAGAAACTAAACAGTTATAAACCCAACACTCATTATCTAATTGAAACAGACCTTTTAAAATACACAACACTAGAAACGCAATGGTTTTCTATGATTCTCAAAAGATTTGATCAGTTTTCAAACAATGGTTTGAAACTAAAAATTTAATACAGAAACTCTACCCGAGTTGTAGAAACCCATATTTCAGTCTCATTTGACCTAATGGGAACGGTGGCTGGGCGGTTGCTCAGTGAATTGGCCTGCACGTGAAATAACCCTTTATAGTTTAAATTCGAAATAAGAGCAGTTCAGGCAAAATCTCGATCATAGCTCACTGCATGACAAAGTTCTACAATTGATGCCCAATTTTCCAAGTAACAAGCATGCCAAGTTTAATGATGATCGTACTATGGCATTTTTCGTCCACTCAACACAAACTAGGTCATTTCAGGAACATACGGGTCTTTAGCAGTAGGAGGAAAATAGAGGACCCGGAGAAAACCCCACAAGGCTGGACAGGAGACCCTACTCCTTGTCACATACAAGCCGGGAATAGAAAACTACGTCACTTGACTCAATGACAGACCTTATGATCAAATGTGCACGCGTTAACCATACGGCCACCCAAACCCCTCAAGAAAAACAACACGAGTAGCGCTTGGTCCAAAAAATGAAAAATACAAGTGCATAAAAATGTGCAATTACGCAAATGATTCCTTTTTGCAACCAGCAGCCATATACCTGTGCATATACCTGCGTATCTCCAACCTTCTGTTGGTAAACTCCTACACATACTTACATACTCCTACTGAAAGTCACAGATTTAAAAATAACACAAAATAATAAGGAAGTAAATTATGAAAAAAAAAACATTTATAAAAGCCTTTACAGATGTGTATGTTCAATCAATACATACATACATATATGTACATATTTCACAGTATTATACCTAGTAAAGAAAATGAAATGGGGTTTAACATCCTACTGTTCTGCTTCTTTCCTGGGCTAATGAAGACGGGTATACACCATACAGTGTGCTATGAGGGAAATTTTGCACAGGCAGCGGCACTATCGCCTACTCTTATATCGAATTCCAACTGCCAAGGGATCTTTAAAGTGTATTCCAATGTATATACGGGACCTCAGTTTTTCGTCTCAGGTTGTTTCATACACGGCTCTTAAAAATGAATTATGTAAGGACTTTAATCTGCATATTGCAATCTTTTTTCCGGCTTCAAATGTTAAATAAATTATTATTTAGACATTTATTCATAAGACAAGCCTATGATCAACTCTGTAGATCATCGTATGGTTGAGGTTTAAGTGAATTTGAATATGCGCAAGATTTTAAAATTTAATGAAAAAATGAATAATCACGACTTTAGAAATAAAATGGGGTTTAACGTCCTACTTCACGACTACAGGCGAATCTATTCCTTGTCATGTACAACCGGGGAATCAAAACCACACAAGTTAACTCAATGATAGACCTTATGATACAGCGAACTAGCTAACCAGCTGGAGAGAGAGAGAAATGGGGTTTAAAGTCCACTCGACATAAACTAGGTCATTTTGGGACTAACATATGGTTTAATTTTTTTATTTCAATAATTCGCTTGCGCGTAGGGGTGTTTAGCAGTGGGAGGGAACCGGAGGAACCAGAGAAAACCCACGAGGTTGGACAGACGACCCTACTGGCTGTAAAATAAAGAACAAAAACATCCAGATATTAATCTTACGAAACAAACTAAGATAGGTTGCCAGGTAATTAAACATGCGCCTACAGCAGATGAGTCGTCCAAGCAGTCCTCAAGGGTTGTCGGGAGAAAGATGGAGAAATGGGCTTTAACGTCCAGTCAACACAAATTAGATCATCCTTTAAGATCTGATACATCCTTCAATTTTATTTCAACAATTCGCTTGCGTGTAGGGGTCTTTAGCAGTGGGAGGAAACTGGAGGACCCGGATAAAACCCACAAGGTAGGACAGACGACCCTACTCCTCGTCACGTACGACCGAGGAATCGAAACCCCGCCAGTTGACTCAATGACAGACCGTATGATACAGCACGTGTGTGCTAACCATTCGGCAATCCCACCACCCCCCCATCTTCAATAGAAGGCTTAATCTCGCCTTAACTACGTACATCTTATCAAGCCCTTCACGTAATACCCCGAATATTTTGGCACTATTTTTGATTGGGTACAAGCCCAGCTTGTGATCCCATCAGATTCCTTCGTTAAAAATATTGTTACGATTATCAAGTCTCGCGCTTATAGCTAAAATGTCTACATGTGACAATCGAGTTGCAAATTTCAAGGTTCGATCAATGTCAAGGTTGCTTGAAATCATACCTGATCAACAAAGAGTTTCTATGGAGGCTGCCATATTTGTTTACAGTGTGTTATGTGCGACGACCTCTGATTGGACAATGCTAATTGATCACGTGTAAACACAACAAGCCCAAAATTTCGGGAATTGCCCAGTATTGAAGCAACGGTTAGATGTTGTAAAACTCGCGATCGTTGCTTCAGGAACATGCCCCCCCCCCCCCAAGGTGAAGGGTAGTGTGCATGATGTAGTGCATGCTTACAAAATCTGGAACACCTGATATCACCTCTAATTAACAATGTAGAATATCTGGTCAAAAAGCATTTTCAGGCTTAAAGATACATTATGGGAGATAAGATAAAGAGATGGCAGTTCTCACTATAATAGTTATAAACTAGATAGTGTAAAGGGAATTTGGGAATTTGCTGAAAATTTCAGTCATATTGATCCACTCTGAACCGAGAACTAAGCGGGTGAAATTTTCGCATAGTCTCGGTCATCATTACTAAAATCATGAATATAAAAAGCAGTCTCGATTATCCACTATTTTGATTTAATTATCAATGGCCGTTAAGCGGCATATAGGAATTTAATCCAGCCAACATTGAAGGCTAGCCTTGACATCGAGAGTTTATTATGGTCTGGATAAGTTAATTAATGTCTAATTGATAATTTAGATAACATTTCTGGCCTAAAGAAAGACTTGTAATAAGCAGATTTTTCTCTTGCATAATGCATGTTTAAGTTAAAATTTACTCAAAATTGTTCGCCTTATAATGTAAATTTAACTAAAATATAGCCCTTTATAAAACTTTTGTTGTTTTGATGTATCAAATGTGCAAAGTTTTGTGTTTTTGGATCAAAGATATTTCTCATGAACAGTGATTGAAAGTGGAGTAAATTTTTAACTTAAGTCTCAGAATGCTTTTTGAACTTGGGACCTGATAACTAATTTACAATGTAGTTGGAAAATTCATTTAGACAACTAAATCTCTGTTGTTTTATTAAAATGTGTTGTTTTTCACCTGTATTAGAATATCAAAACAAGAGGTGTTGATTCCGTCAGTGAAGAAAAGTTAAAACCTATATTTCATTTCATTTGTGAGTCAGGCAAAGACGGGGTTGTTTAACAAACATCCTTGTAGGCTACGGTATAGAAAACAATATTCTGTGATGTTTTTTGTTATTTTTATAATTTGTGAGTCAGGGTCATTTAACAAACATTCTAATCAGATTAAAACACAAGTCCTATTTCGATTCGTTTTTTATAGTTCAAAATTTCGTTTTACTTGTCTTTACTGCACTAGGATCTGGAAGAGTTGTTATATCACAGGCGTTTTGGTTGAAGTGAGGGATAAGTCAATGAAACAGTCTGTTACGGCGACTTCTTGGCGTGCCATGCAGGAATTGTAGATAAACCACTAGAAATGCCAATGTTGATTGATTAATCAATGTCTGATGTCATAAGTAGGGTCAAAAGCCGCTCGTACGACCTCTGACACGACCTTCAAGTACAACTTGTCAGATCTTCATGTAGTGTAGGCCATCGAAAGTATAAAAAAAACGAAACGAAATATAGATCTGTATTTTCATCTGATTGCTAACATCCTTGTAGCCTACTATATAGAAAACATAGATTAAGTCTATTAGACTTTGTGATACTTTTTTCTTTTTTTATAATTTATAACGGATGGGCATACAACAGACAATCGCTTAAAACGGACACAACAGTTTGGTTCCGATTTTTGTAATAGAAATTTTTATTTTCAAAGTCTTTTATAGCGGACACTGTATAACGAACGATTTTCATCGGTCCCTAATCGACAAATCAATGTAAAAGTTCATTTTTATAACGGACTCTCGAATGAGTAGAACAAAATGATGATATTACTTATTTTCTTTGTGTTTCTGGCGGATTCAAGCAGACCTGCATTACAGACTTTTTCAAATAAGCTTGTTTATTTTGAACATCCATAATATGTGAATACATACTGTACATGACTTTTATGTAAATACATGTATGTTCTCTAGATTCTGCATATGATAAATGTTGTTATTTCATGGGATGGCGTTACCTTCTGGTCGCTAATTCAGGGTCAATAGCAGATTTTTTGTATAACGGACAGCTTTTATAAAGGACGATTTCTTCCGGTCCTGAGATGTCCGTTATATGCGAAGTCTACTGTACATGTATGTTGCCTGGGTGAAGTCTTCCATAACTCTTTATTTATCACCTCACTTATAACTCTCTATTTATCACCACACTTATAAAACTATGTCAAATGTCAAGTTGTACCATAGTTTTATCGGAAGCTGTATGACAAAGAAGGAAATCAATGAAAGTGTCAATTTAAGCCAAAATATTAATCAATCTTTAATCAAAAATGAAATGAAATCAAATGAAATGGGGTTGAACTGAACATTCTACTGTTCTGCTCCGAACTGGGCTAATGAAGATGGACATACGTTATACAGTGTGCTATGAGGGATATTTTGCCCGAACAGCGGCA